GGCGTACCTGCTGGAGCATTTAGACATGGAAGGAGATGTGCGTGAGCCCATACGGCTGGTAAGGGAGCGAGTGACCAGACAGGTGGGAAAAGGGGTAAGCTGCAACGCAACACGGATGGGAGCCTACTCACACAGGCTCAGAATGTATTGGCAAAACGTGGTGCCAGCAGAAGACCTGCAGAGGGAGATAGAGGGGGTGAGAAGAGCAGGGGGGCGGAAGCTGAGCGATATACTCGAGCCTGGGCGAACACCAGCACCAGTAAGCAAGAGGAGCTACAGCCGACATTACCCTTGCAACACAGTGGGGCAAGAGAGGCAAGCACTGCCGACGCTCGTGTCATATGAAGGGGCAGCAGGGTACCAGATGGAGGGGAAGCAGCCAGGCCCAGGACTAGTGCTCGATCATAGGAAGGGAAGATGGGAAGAGCCCACGGCCCTGGAGAGGGAGCTGGCTATGGGGTACAAGGAGAACATCACAGCAGCCCCGGGCGTGACAGAGCAGGAAAGGAGGCGGGCGATGGGGAATGCAATGGATGGATACGTGATGAGGTGGTTGGTGCAGCGGATGTGGAGAGAAACGGTGCTGCACTGGGGACTGAAGGAGGGAGAAAATACAGAGGCAACGGTGAGACAAGGGGTGTGGACCTGCCTGCCAACAGCAGAGCCTGAGTGGAAGATAGGAGAGAGCATGAGCGAGGGAGGGAAGACAGCGATGCTGGCACTACTGGTCAAGCACAGGAAAGGCTTCGCTTTCACCCTGCAGGAGTTGGGGAAGTGCAAGATCAAGGAGATGGCATTGAAGCTGAACAGTGAAGAGCCGGTGTTCCATCGCAGAAGAAAGATGCCACCAGGGGATGAGGCGATCTGCAAGGAGAAAGTACAGGAGTTGCTGGAAGCAGGACTGATCAGAAGGTCAGAGTCAGAGTACGCAACCCCGACCGTGGTGGCAGCCAGGAAGGATTTGACAGGCGAGGTGCTGAGCCGCAGAATGTGCGGTGATTACAGAGATCTTAACAAGATCACCGTGCCGGATAGGTACCCCATGCCAATGGCGGAAGAACTCTTCGACAAGCTGGCCGACGGAGTATACTTCACGACGCTGGACCTGCGCCAGGGATTCAATCAGATAAAAATCAGAGAGGAAGATGTGAAGAAGACAGCCTTCCACGGACCGGACGGGCTGTATGAGTGGTTATACATGCCCTTCGGCCTGCGGAATGCCTCGGCAGTGTTTCAGAGAGTTATGGATGCGGTGCTGCGGGGGATTGAACATGCAGCATGCTACATTGATGATGTGGTCATCTTCAGCCAGACAGAGCAGCAGCACCTTGAGGACGTGGAGCGGACCCTGAGTGCAATAGAGGAGGCAGGGCTCACCTGTCATCCCAACAAGTGCAGGTGGGGGGAGCGGACAGTGCAGTACCTGGGGTATGAAGTGACAGGAGGACAGATCGGGATTCAGCAAGCAAAGGTGCAGGTGCTGGACAGGCTGAGGGAACCCAGGGACAAGACAGGGCTGCGCGCAGTCTTGGGCTTCCTCAGCTACTACAGGCGCTTCGTGCCTAACTTCAGTAAGCGGGCGGCAGTGCTGAACGGGATGCTGCGAGAGGACAAGGTATGGGAGTGGGGAGAACAGCAGAGGGAAGCACTGCAAGACCTCATGACAGCCGTGAAGACAGCAACCGTGCTGCGGCTGCCAGCAGCAGACCAGCCCTTCGTCCTCTACACCGATTGGAGCAGCCAGGGGATGGGGGCAATCCTGTGCCAGGAAGTGGAGGGAGTGGAAAAAGTGGTAGCCTACGCCAGCAGGAGCTGCAACCCCGCAGAGGCGCAGTATAGCTCATACATAGGGGAGGGGCTGGCGGCCGTGTGGGCGGTGGGGCATTTCAGGGTGTACCTGCAGGGCCGCGAGTTCACACTGGTCACTGACCATCAGCCCCTCACTTGGCTGATGACCACACCAGGGCTGACGGGAAGAAACGCAAGGTGGGCAGTGAAGCTGCAAGAATATGATTTCCAGATCAGGCATAGGCCGGGGAAGACGCTGCAGCACGTTGACGGTCTCTCTCGCAACCCACCACCGCTGGAATCAGGACAGAGAACACAGGGGACGGAAGGGACGGAGCTGGAGCCAGCACACACCTTGATCATGCTGGCGAGAGAAGCGGAAGAGGTCGGAGCCAAGGGGAGCAAGGGACCAGCCGACATCTGGCAGGACGAGAAGGCAATGCGGTGGGTGAAAGGAGAAACAGAGGAAGACGAGACAGTGTCAGAAAGAGTGCGGGCACGGGGGCACCACTACAGGTGGTATCAGCGGCAGCTGCAGATCAAGACAGAGGACGGGTGGAAGCTAGTGCCTGCACCCACGGACCGTGAAGCAGTGATCAAGGAGGTGCACACGAAGCTGGGACACTTCGGGCACGAGAGGACTGTACACCTGCTGAAGACAGGCTGGTGGTGGGAAGGGATGCGCAAGCAAGTGAAAGAGTGGGTGGAGGGGTGTGAGGCGTGTCAGAGGAGCAAGGCAAACTTAACGCAGGCCAAAGCAGAACTGCATTCACTGCCGATTTGCGGGTTGGGATTCCGATGGTCCTTGGACCTCGCGGGAGAGCTGCCGCTCAGCAGGAGCGGAAATCGGTACATCGTGTTCATGGTGGAGCATGCGAGCAAGTGGTTGGAGGTGAAAGCCATCCCCAGCAAGAGCGCGAGGCACATAGCAGCAGCCTTCAAGGCGCAGGTGGTGTGTCGCTTTGGAGCGTGCGGGGAGGTACTCACGGATCAGGGGACGGAGTTTCTGGGGGAATTTGAGAAGCTGCTGAAGGAATCCGGCATAGCGCACAGAAAAACCTCCCGCTACCACCCACAAAGCGACGGGCTGACCGAGCGAGCGGTGCAGACCTTCAAGCGGGGGCTGCGGGCCTATGGGGAGCAGAGGAAGAGGGACTGGGATGAGGAGCTGGATTGGATAGCCGCAGGGTACAGGTTCGGGAAGCAGGCAGCACTCAAGGACCACTCCCCGTACAGCCTCCTTTACGGAAGAGAGCCAATCCTGCCAGTGGAGGCACCACGGGTACTGACAGACACGGTGACAGCAGGCACGATCAAGAACTGGGTGGCCCTGTCCGAGGTGAGAGCGCGCTACATGCGCTACATGCTGCCAGTGGCACTGGAGAACCTGCACACTGCACAGCTGAGGGACGCAAGGAGGTACGAACAGAGGCAGCGCAAGGGAGAGGGGCGAGTGGCAAGAGGCGTCTGTGAAGGGCAGGAGGTGTACCTCAAGAGGGCAAAGCAAGACACCCTGGATGTGGGGCTGGGTACGGTCCGCTGGAAGGTCAAGGAGGTGCGCCCTTCAGGGGTGCTGGTCCTGGAGAATGACACGGGGGCGCAAGTGAAGGAGCATCAAACGAACACTGCCGTGATCAGAGGCAGCGGGCCTCAGCGCAACGGTCCTGTGACCCGCACTCAAGCTGCGCGAGCACGGGCACAGGAGGGGGCAGAGAGTGGCTGAGGCAGCAGAAGGAACGAAGGAGAGGCAGAGCAGGAGAATCAAGGCAGAGAAGAGCATAGCGGTAACTCCGACAGCGGACGTGGCAGGGATGGCAAGATAATCCCGGGCCATGCGCCTCAGCGTCTGCATGTTGGTGGCGCTGCGCCAATACTTCAACGCTGACACATGGCACCGCACCCTCTCAGATAAGTACCTGCCAACCTCGTCATCTTGCACCAACCCACCCCTCCCCGCCTCCTGGCTCGCCGACAGACGCGCCGCAAGGCGTCGGCGACTAGGGAGAAACTCAGCGTCTTCGTCGTCATCCGCCGCGTCTCCCTCCTCCTCCGTCACTGGGGCAAGTGGGGTCGGCCGAGGGGCAATCGCTGCAGCCCGGGCGTGGTACTCGGCCACGCGTTCGCGAACCAGCTGGATCACCTCGCCTGACGAGGGACGAGGCCTCGCCCTCCGGTCGGTATCGGGATGCAGCGTCTCCCAGTGCGCGTCGTCGAACCACGCCGCCTTCATAGAAGGGTCCAGGAAGGTCGCGATCCACAACTCGTTGCTTGACATCAGTTCATACTTCTTCAAGAGACCCAGCGCCGCCTCAATCATCGGCTTCAGCGTAGCCGATGGCTCCTTGGCAAGGCGCGACTCCATAGCGTCGATCAGGTCGTTGTAGTACGGCAGGACCATCGCTACTGTAGGGTACGCCGCTCCCTCCGCGGCCTTTGAGACTTTGGCGAATGGGCTGAGGAAGGTCTTGATAGAATGCAGAGTCTCCCAGTCTGCGTCCGCCAGGCGCAAGGTGTCCAGCTTCGCCTTGTCAGCCTTCGACACGCCCTGTCGGGTAGAACGTATGGGTGGGCGGGTGTTAGGGTGGAAAGTGGGGTGGTTGAGGTTGTTGGAGGTCCGAAAAGTTTAGTCAAGCATGGCCAACAGTGGTGCAAGTCCTAGAACAAAACACCGCGACATACCAACACGTAAAACCGCATACACAACACCTGGCACACACACACACACACACACACACACACACACACACACCTGTGTCTGGGCAAAGAAGGCAGAGATGGGTTCCTGCAGATTCCCAGCTCGCTCGACCATGTCGTGGGTCGACCCCCAGCGTGTGGGACTGTCCTGCACCAGCTTCAATGCCGGCTTCGGTTTGGCGGGGTTGCCCTGCGCGTTCAGGGTCCGCTGAAGGCCCAAGAACTTCCCTGAGTGCTGCGGGGAGAAGCCTATCCACGACGCCATCTCTCTCTGAATCTTCAGCAACTTGCGGATGGCGGTCACAGCGAGAGCTGCCTTCACTGCAAGGTTGATCACGTGTGCCAGGCATCTGCGCACATCATAAAACATTAATGGCGGAGAGAAAGGGAAGTGTGAGTACACATTGGCATAGACCCGAGAAACACTACCACTCTCAAGCCGCATTAACCCACCCGCCCGTACTACAACCACAAAATGTTCACAGGAACGACGCACCCAGACTCCCTCATCGCACATCCTACGCACACTCCCTTTCGTACCGGAAGTGCATGCGCGAGTTGAAGAAGCACTGGCCACCACCATCCTCCGACATCCACCTGAAAGCGGCAGTGTTGCTGGAGGCGTTGTCTGAGGTGAACCCAAGACAATGCGTCTCCAACCCCCACTGCACCACAGTCTCCTCAACCACCCTCGCCATCTGCTTGCCCGTGTGACGCCCGTGAATCTCGCGGAATTCAAACACCATTGTGCGCAGCTGGTAATTCTCGTCGATCCAGTGACCCGTTACCACTAGCCACGCCCTATTGTTGGGCGCCGTCCACATGTCGATGGTGAACGACACCCTGCACCCCAGCTCCCCCTCCTTTGCCAGCATCTCTGCAATGGCTGACTGAAGAGCGGCAGCCGCATAGACCACTGTGTCGTGGGAAACTGTCCAGCGCGAGGGGATGAAGTTCTTCTGCGTGCAGTTGCGGTTTAGCAGGATGAGTAGCTCACGAAACTGGAGAGGGGTAGAGACAAGGGGGGAGAGGGGAGTAAACGTCAGGGGGATGGGATGAAAATAATATAGCACTGGGCCACACGCAAACAGTCAAAACACAAAGGGACAGACCCGTCCACTAACCACATACTTGCCCAATCATGCATGGGATGGGATGGGGCACTTACAGCCTCAGCCTCGACGATGCGGAAGGGGAGGTCGCAGGTGACCACCAGCTTCGTGATCGCCTGCCGTAGCTGCACCGAGGTCAGTTTGGTTGTCATCCACCGCTCCATCCCGCCTGACCCATGACCTCCACCAGTCGCCATCCCTTTCCCCTTGGCGAGCTGCGGCCAAGTCTTGGCATGTGGCCACTGATAGACGTAGCCATCTGGCACTCCCTTGTAGCCCCCACGGGGAAACGTCTCCCCTGGCAAGTGAACGGACGGGGTGTGGTACGGTGATGCCACACATGCATGTGCGCAGTGTGGAAGCTCGCAAAGTGCCGCTCGCTGGGGGTTGTTGTGGATTGCTTCCACGAAATCCTGTTCGTGCAAATCTTGCACTGACGCTTATCGTCTGCCCCTAACGGTCCGAACATCATTACTTGCCACCCCGGCTTCCTATTACCCTTGCCAGTCCCCTTACACACCCTCGCCCAAGGGCTCCCCAGTGAACGTGCAGGGATACGCCCGCTCCCTCAACTTGTTGGTCTTCTTCCTCTGCCTCGGCTACCTAATGGTTGTTGGTGTTAGGCCCCAATCTCACATTTTGTACTTGTACTTTTATATCCTAGTTTAGTGTAGTTTGCACTTTGTGTTTGGTTGGGTGTACACCCACATCCCAACCAAACCCAAATGTAATCTCCAAGCAATCTCCAACCCACCAATTGGAGATTGCCTTGGGATTACCCTTGATTCCCTAGGATTGCCTCCTGATTCCCTCCTCATCCCTACCTTGCTCATTCCGGATGTACTTAAAGAGCTTTGAGCTCACTACTATAGTATCGATTCTAAGCTCAAGTTCTGACATGGTATCAGAGCAGCTCAACCGCATACGTGGATCGTGATCCTCTCATCTCTGCGGATACTTGTCCCGCAAACCTCGGGGAAGCCATCGCCAATCTCGTCACCGTTGATTCGCGACATTCATCGGCGGAATTTCTCCCGCCACATCTTCCCGTCACCATCGACGGAAACTTCTCTGGTAAGCGCATCGTCGGCGCTCTAACCTAACACTCGTTTTCATCAATTCGTCACTCTCGTCACTTCTTCTCCTCGTCGGGCCGCCGCCCGTCGCCCTGCAGCTTCTCGTCGGGCCGCCGCTCGTCGCCCTGCAGCTTCTCTTCGGGCTGCCGCCCGTCGCCCTGCAGCTTCTCGTCGGGCCGCCGCCCGTCGCCCCGCAGCGTCATCTTCGGGCTGCCGCCCGTCGCCCCGCATCTGCACTCCTACCCCCATCCCCCCTCTTTCCCGCAGCTGAACAGGTGCAGCAACGCAGCCGAGCAGCAGCGTAGCCGCGTAGCCGAGCAGCCGTGTAGCCGCGAAGCCGAGCAGCAGCGTAGCCGCGAAGCTGAGGGTGGTGTGTGGGGGGGTGTGTGGGAATAGGATTAGTAGGTAGTTGACACTAAATTGGCGTCTCAGTCAAATTCTCCTTCAGAAACCCTAAACCTCAATATTCTCTTTCGTAAACCCTAAACCCCCGGTTCTTCAAAATCTCCTTTGGAAACCCCAAACCTCAAGTTCCTATCGGTGACTTAAGAGCGGCGCTCCGCGCGAGAAGTTAAGGGGTCTCCACCATGGCTTTCTCGTCTTCCACCATGGCGAACCCCATCACCCCGCTCCGCCTTGAAGCCGATGGCTCTAGCTCCAACTTCAAGGCGTGGAGCTACGGAGTTGACAAGCACCTTCTGAGCCGTGACGTGCAGGGCCTTGACCTCAAGGACGTCCTCCTCAACCGTGGCAAGGGGAAACAGCCCACTCTTCCCCGTGAACCGACCGAATCTTCAAGTGATGCTGACGTGATGGCGTACGAAGAAGCTGTTGAGAAGTACCGGAAGTGGGAGAAGGCCGATGCTGCCATCATCAGCGTCTTCATTGCCTCCACCCCTCCCGAACTTGTCAACACGTTCCACAACTACCCTACCTCCAACGCCATCTGGAAGTATCTCCAGGATCGGTTCATGAACAAGACGGCGGTCGGAGTGGCGATTCTCATCCCCAGCATGTTTCAAGTCCGTCTTGAGGACTGCTCAGGAATGGCTGACTACATCGCCAAGGTGCAGACCATTCATGGTGAACTCAAGGAGCTGGGTATAGTCTTCCCCGAACAAGCCCCTGCAGTCGCCCTTCTTGTTGGTCTCTCCTCGGCATATGAAGTCACGAGGAAGATGCTCCTCACGCTCTCAGCGGAAGACCTCACCTTTGCTAAGGTCTCCACCGCACTCCTCTCTGCCGAGAAAGACTCCACGGCTCAGGCCAAGGCATACGCCATCCGTGCTCCCATGCCCCCAGCAAGTGTTGCAGCGGCCCTTGCCTCGGCGCCTTTCCAGCGCAACCGCTTTCCTCCGTGCACCTACGTCGTCAAGTATGGCAACCGCAAGGGACAAGTGTGTGGTGGCACTAACCACCCCCTTGCCACGTGCTTCAAGAAGAAAGACGACGAGTGGTATGCCATCCACGGGGTTGACAAGAAACCGCCAAACTGGATGCGCGCTCGTAAGGCCAATCTCATTGAGGTCCAGGACCCCTCTTCGGCTAGTGCTAGTGATAGTGCTCCTGTTGATGTGCGTATCAACCTGTTGTTTCCTGGCACTGCCATGATTAATGAAGCCACTTCCCAGTACATCGACTCATCACAGGCACCACAGTACATAGAGTTCACACTCGACAGCGGGGCCACTCACACTGTGCTCAAGGAGACACTCTCCTTCAAACCCTATCCAGCACCTATCCCTCTCTTGGGAGCTGACTCCAGCTTCACCACCCTAGCCAAGGGCACCTCCACAGTCCCATGCCCAGCCTTCCCTTCCGGCACCGTCACTGGCATGTGCGTGCCTTCACTACGCCACAATCTGGTGGCTCAAACAGAAATTCAGAAAGCAGGGCTACGCACCATCTTCTCGGAGAATGAGGACCACTGCGACATCATTGACCCACTCACCAACAAGGTCTTGGCCCGCTTCACCCTCAATAGCAGCGGCCTCTACACGCTACGCGTTCCTCTCCCACAGGTTTCAACCACCCAAGCACAGGCTCCCATCACACCATGCACATGTCGCAGCCTCTCCAACCCGACCATCCTCTATCATCATCGGCTAGGGCACCCAAACTTCCGCACGCTTGCTGACATGGCCTCCAAGAAACTTCTTCTCGGCCTGCCAGCCACACTTCCTCCACCACCTGACTCACCCGCTCCCACGTGCCTTGATTGCACCAAGAGCAAACTGCGCCAACAGCCCCACACTGCCTCACCCACAATCGCAGCGGCACCACTGGACCTAGTGCACATGGACGTCTGGGGCCCTGCCCCTGTTCTTGCACGAGGTGGATATCGCTACTTCCTAGTTATCGTGGATGACCACTCACGATACGTCTCTGTTCATCTCCTCCACACTAAGGCTGAGGCTCCAGAGGTCATCATGGCGTGGGTCAAGCAGGCACAGACCACCTTTGACCGCAAGGTCAAGCGTCTTCACTCGGATGGGGGGGGTGAATTTTGCAACGACAAGCTCAAAGCCTTCTGCTCCTCCGAAGGCATCCAGCAAAACTTCACCCTCCCTGACAGCCCTCAACAGAACGGCATAGCTGAGAGCCGCAACCACACCCTAGTGCAGATCACTCGGTGCCTCCTCAGCCACTCCAACGCTCCACACTCTCTCTGGGGATACGCTCTCTACCACGCCGCCCTCCTCTACAACCTTTACCCCCATCCGCACCTTCCCGACACCACTCCAACCACACTCTGGCTCGGGAAAACGCCCACTGCTCGCTCTCTTCGCGTTTGGGGATGCACCGCCTATGTCCTCCTCAACCCTCAGGCTCGACGCCAGAACGGTGGCAAGCTCGGTCCCAAGACTCAAACGTGCATCTACCTTGGGCACAACGCCGACTCACCTGACTACCTCTTCCTCAATCCCTCCACTCAACAGTTGGTCAGGAGCCGCGACGTTGTCTTTGATGAGACCCGCCCATTCTACTCCCCTTCAGGACGGGACCCTCTCCCTGATCCACCCTCCCTCGTGTGGGCAGACTTTGACGCGCCTCCCGACCTCCCGCCTGCTCCTGCCCCCTCACCTCCTCCCTCTCCTGCCATCCCACCATCTCCCTCTGAGGTCTCTGACCCGGCCTCACCGGTGTCTTCGGTAGCTGCTCCGCCCCCCCCCTCACCTTCCTCACTTCCCGCTGCACCGCCCCCTCCGAGCGCACCTATCACCTACCATCGGCGGTCCCACCCTCCGGCCCCACCTCCTCCCCCAGTTTCCCCCACCACAGAGGAACCCGCTCTCCCACAGTCGCCCGAGCTGATCACGTACCGCCGGCGGCCCATTCCCCCACCCAAGCCTCCTAAGTCACCCTCTCCGACACCGCCTGCCCCACCCTCCTCACCGGTGGCTCATGGCACCCGCTCCCATCGCGCTGCTCTTCCACTCGCAATGGTTCTTCGATACACAACGATCACACCGCCTCCTCCTGCTAGGGGGGATGTGCCCTCTACCCTTCTAGAAGACAGGCATGAGGAGCTGTGTGATCTCCATGCAGTCATTCCTCAGCTCTCACACATCTTCCCCGATATCACTGGCTCACCCTCCCTCAACCTCGCGGAGAACCCGACCATCCCTATCCCTCTCACCGTCCAAGAGGCTCTCTCAGGCCCTCATGCTGCCGAATGGCGTGCTGCCATGGACGCGGAGATTGCAGCATTCACTCGCAACCACTCCTTCGACGACGAGACTCCACCTCCAGGAGTCAACATCGTCGGGGGCAAGTGGTTGTTCCGTGTAAAACAGCTCCCAGACGAGGCACCGGTGTTCAAAGCGCGTTACGTAGCCAAGGGCTTCACCGAGCAGCGGTACTGCGACTTCGACCTAATCTTCTCCCCCACATCCAAACCTCCCACCATTCGAACGCTCATGGATGTTGCAGCTCGAGAAGACTTTGAGATCAAATCCATGGATGCCTCCTCCGCCTTCCTACAAGGACGTCTCAAGGAGACAGTGTTCATGGACAGACCAGAAGGCTTCCCAGGAGAATTCCCTCCCAACACTGTCTGGAAGCTGAATCGCCCCGTCTACGGCCTTAAACAAGCCCCTCGCGAATGGCACAACAAGGTGAAAGAAGTCCTCCTCTCCCTGGACTTCCACCCCTCAACTGCTGACCCGACTCTCTTCATCCGTCGTCATTCTGAGCCATTCTACATCCTAGTTTACGTGGATGATTTTATCCTCGTTGCCAAGGACTCGGCCCAAATGACCTCAGTCCAGGCAGCCCTGAGCAAGGCCTTCCAGATGAAAGACCTCGGTGATCTCAAGCACTACCTGGGAATGGAGATCACTCGTGATCGCAAGGCTCGCACCATCTCACTCTCCCAGGAGTTCTACATCGACAATGTGCTCAAGCGGTTTGAGATGGAGCTGTGCACACTTGTTGCCACCCCGCTGCCGCTGCAACACCTCCTTACAGCTCCTGCTGTACCCACACCAGAGGCCTGCTCTGAGCCATACCCGGAACTTGTTGGGTCCCTCATGTACGCCATGATGTGCACCCGACCGGACTTGGCCTACCCAGTCAGTGTTCTCTCTCGTTACGTGGCCCCGGGTCGCTTCACTAATCTTCATTGGAAGGCAGCAAAGCGGGTGCTGCGCTATCTTAAGGGCACAAAGTCCCACGTTCTCACACTCGGTGGGCTCTCCCCTCCTCGCCTGGAAGGTTACACAGACTCCTCCTGGGCTGATGACCAGACCGACCGACGCTCCTCTCAGGGGTACTGCTTCACCCTCGGGAGCGGAACTGTCAGTTGGCGCTCCACCAGGTCGTCTGCAGTCTCCCTCTCCTCCTGTGAGGCGGAGCTCTACGCAGGCACCATGGCTGCTCAGGAGGCCCGTTGGCTCACCTTCCTACTCCAGGAGCTTGGCTTCCCTCAGTCAGCCCCCACCCTCTGGTGTGACAACCAGAGTACCATCCACATCTCTCAAGACCCTGTGTATCACACCCGCACCAAGCATATTGAACTTCGGCACTTCTTCATTCGTCACCTTGTGCAACAAGAGCAGCTGAAGGTGGAATACGTGGCATCTGACTGCAACCTGGCTGACCTGTTCACCAAGCCCCTTGGGAAGGTTCCCCACCATCGTCTCCTTGGCGCCATGGGGCTCTGCGCTCCTCCTTCTCCGCCATGAGTTCGATTGACGCCTCAGGGGGGGTGTTGGTGTTAGGCCCCAATCTCACATTTTGTACTTGTACTTTTATATCCTAGTTTAGTGTAGTTTGCACTTTGTGTTTGGTTGGGTGTACACCCACATCCCAACCAAACCCAAATGTAATCTCCAAGCAATCTCCAACCCACCAATTGGAGATTGCCTTGGGATTACCCTTGATTCCCTAGGATTGCCTCCTGATTCCCTCCTCATCCCTACCTTGCTCATTCCGGATGTACTTAAAGAGCTTTGAGCTCACTACTATAGTATCGATTCTAAGCTCAAGTTCTGACAATGGTCACGGCCTTTCTCCCCCCCACCTTAACCCCCACGCTCCCTCCCCCTTCACGCACATGCTGTGATCCCGCCTCTGTCGCCGCCCTTCCACCACCCTCTCCCACCTCCTCCTCCCGCCCCTCTGGCTCCAACCGATCCATCTCATGGTCTTCATCATCATCATCTCCCCCCTCCCCACCGCCATGCGTCTCTGGGTCCCACGCCGCCTCGCTGTCATCCCCGCTCCCCTCAGTGTCCTCCTCCTTCTCGCCCTCACCATCCTCCTCCTCATCCTCCTCCTCACTGCCGCTCTCCGGCTGCGTCTGCGTCTGCCCCGAAGGAGGGGGTCGAGGGCCGTCGAAACGGAAAGAGCGACGAGAGGTCGGCGCCGGTACGGTAAGCAACCCCCCTACGAAGATCACGCCGACTCCTCCCGGTCCATCCCCTACTCGCCCCTGCATAGGTCGTGGTGGAGAACCCGGTGCGCTGTCCTGAGCCCTGCCTGCACCTCGGCCTATGGATCCACGAGCCCTGGAAGCCATAACTCCGCCCTCGACCCTAAACCCTAAAACACCCTTTCTGCAACGGTAGCGTTGGATGGTGCCACACGTTCCTAAACGTTATCCTGCACGGTTAGGTCTCTGAAATGCCCGATCCGAATCCTACGGCGTAGGATACGCCCTACTTGAGCCTTTTGCGGAGATGCTGGCTGAACCTTAATAGTAACCCTAAACACCCTACACTACGTTAAACCCTATGCATGGATCTAATGTCCGTGTACATTGCAAGTATCAGCGTGCACTTGCTTGCACCTAGAACAAGAAGGCTAGGGCGGCTGTGTGAGGGAGCGCTAAGGCGAAAACGAGTTCTGAGTTTGAGCTCACGAAATGAGCTCAAACACAAATTGGTCGCGACCTAAATCTGGTCGCGGCCAATTTTGACGCGAACCTTTTTGGTCTTCGCGTGGCCCCCAAGTCGAACACAAACATGTTCGTGTTCGGCTTGGAGACCCGAAATTCTGGGGCGAACGTCGAACATGTTCGGCCGAACACCGAACATGTTCGGCCTGAAAAATTTAGGCAAAAAAAAATGCCTGTTCGGTTCGCCTCGAACATGTTCGAGGCGAACCGAACAGGCGTTCGGAATTTTGCTCATCCCTACGGTCGACCACGTTCCAGCGGGGCATGGTCGACCGCGCCCTAGCAGTGTAGAGTCGCGGCTTGCCAACGCTGCAGGTCGACGGCGTGCCAACATCGCAAGTCGACGACGCGCCAACGTTGCACCCGCAGGACAGCAGCGCACCTGCTTCGCAGGTGGCTCGCAGATGATTGGCGTGCTGTGCCTCGTCATTTGCACAGCGCACACACCAAATCGTCCTCGTGCTGACGGCTGCACCTGATCAGCCACGTCGACCTCGGGATACCACCTACGAGGTCGGTCTCGCCAATATCACCTGGGCGACCGTCGCACTCCTCCGCCGAACCTCGTCACTCAGGTAACCTGGTCGACTGGGCAACCACGTCGACCAGTTGCTCCTTACGTGCCCGTCGACATCCCAAGTCGACGACCACCTCCAGTCGACCACACCGGTCGACCACACCCTTGGTCGACTAGCTCCAGGTCGACGACAACCTTGGTCGACCAGCTCCAGGTCGACCAGCACAGCAGTCAGCCGACCTCACCAAGTCGGCTGCCTCAAGTCGGCGTCACCAAGTTGACACCCTTGCAATGGCCCCCGTGCAGGTCGGCCAACCTCGTCGACCAGCTCGCCCACTGCTGCAGGTCGGCTGCACCCCTTACACCTGACCACAAAGTCAGCTCCGCCAAAGCGAGGACGGGGCCTACCACAACTCCCGTTGACAGGAACGACTAATCACAATGAAAGGATTAAAGTGGTTCTGTTTTCTAATCACCATTGAGCTTGCAATTAGGGCTCCACCACAAGTGGGTGGGTTGGCACCCCAAATGCAAAATGTACACCAAATTGCGGCACATGTTCGGTACATGAACAACTCGATTGTACACCAATTTTGATGTGCAGTCAGAAGAAACCAAGCATGTTAACATATGTATTCCAACACTACCCCGTAACAGAGTAAGGCTATTATCAACGCAACCCCTAAATTAGGGGTTCCTGGTAAAACAGGCAAGTCGAGAAAGAAGAGCGGTGTGTGCGGTATGAGTAAAAACTTTGGGATGTCAGCAAGGCTGGCGTCAGCTGCAATCTTGCGGACCGCGAGGTGAACCTGTTGAACGAGCTTGCGGATGAAGAAATGGGGGAGCTCGATGTGCTTGGAATGGCCGTGAAAGATGGGGTCTTTGGTGAGGTGAAACATGTTGGGATTGTCACACCAAAGTGTGTCGCGGCGATGTGAGGCGCGAAGCTTAGCGAGAATGTAGCACAACCAGCGGGACTCCCGATGGCCACGGTTCCGACGTAGAGATCGGCCTCGCAGGAATGCGATAGCGGAGGATTGTGTGAAGCCAGCTAAGAAGGCACCTGCCGAGCGTGCAACTATAGCTTTGCGAGGAGCGGCGGTCCGGCTGTGAGTCTGCCTAGGAGGAGTCATTGAATTCGGAGAGGAGAGGGGGGAAGAACCACCAAGGTAAAGAATGTACCGTAGTCCGTTTCCCCTTGAAGGTAAAACAAGGCCCTCTTCATGTCTTCAATCCAGTGCTTGATGGTGTGGTAGCATTGCCAACAACAACCTGAGCAAGCACGTTAATAGGGTAGGCAAAGTTAGGGTGGGTGCATGCACATCATAATGTGTATCAACGATTCGATGACCTCGACGTACGGGTGGGACGAAAAGGAAGGAGAGGAGGGCGGGGCAAGCTGATGACTGAAAGGGAGGGGGCTGGACGCGGGCTCAACTTGCGCCATCTCGAATCAATCCAAGACCTGGTCGATGTAAAAGGTATGGGAGAGAGTGACGGTGGGAGCACGACCACCATGTCCAAGTAGTGTGATAGGCCATCAAGGTACTTGCACTTGAGGCGCTTCAAAGGTTAAAGATTCGCTAGGCTAAATTTTCGCCCGAAATTTTCGCTCGTTTTTTTTTTTAAATTTTTTTTTTTTATATTTCAGCGAAATTTTGTTAGGACCCAAAAAACAGTGAAAACAAAAACTGGTTGAGGGGAAGGCCCCAAACAAGATTGCGACTCCAGTATCCACTATAAACGCAAGGATATAGGAGAGGGGATGATCTAGGCATGAAGCCATGGCGTAGTAGCGGGAATGGGAGAAGCATTATCAAGTCCTCTAAACTAGTGCTGACGGATTCTGCAAGGTGACGGTCTATGGTGCATTGTCAACTAAGCTTGAAAGATTTGTGACCAAACCTAACTCATCGATCTCGAAGATTGACCCCCCACCACACAAAATCGTCACGATTTGTGCGACCAAAATCCAACCAATTTTTACCTCTTGACCACATGCTACCGCTCTGGATCTAGAGAACCCAACCCAACCAATTTCGAAGTTGGGCTGAGGGGGGGCTTTGTCAGATCTAGATCTCAATTTGACCCCCGTTTAATCCTCATTTGCTAGCCTTTCTTCTCCAACCAGGGAGGCTTGAAAAATTCGCCGAAAATTTCGCCAAAATTTTGCACCAAACGCAAAATTTGGAAACTTGGCGAAATTAACCGAAACTGTCGGGCGAAAGCTTCGATAGCAAAAACTTCGCCCTAAATTTGAAAAATTCGCCTAGATTTTGAACTGTGTGCGCTTCTACAGCGACTGCGTTATCTGTGCCGTAGTTGCTGTGTCATCAGCAGGAAGAATCATGTCATGTACATAAACCAAAATGAAGAAACGAACGAGGTGGGGAGCGGATGAAAAGATGGGCATCCGAGGCTGTGAAGTCAAAGGACTGCAGGATGGTGGCTAGCTTAGCATGTCACTCCCTCGACATCGGCTTCAAGTTGTAGATTGAGCGACGCACCGCCACACCGTTCGCAGGGAAAGCATCATGGAACCTAGGAGCCCGCTTCATGAAGATTCCCTTTTGCAGATCTCCACATGCGGTTGCTGCCACGGCTGGGCTTTGCGTTTGTTCGTTTTCGGTTCATGAATCGCCTCGACGGTTCATGAGTTATGTGCGTTTTCGTGAAAGGTTGCACTCTTGAGTGTTCATGAATGTCTGTGTGTGAATGTGAGATTTTGTGTGCGTCTGTGCTGTTTCGCGAGTCGTCACAAATGTGTGTGAATTCTGGTTTTCGTAAGTTCTTGTGATGCCCGCGAGTTGTTTACGAGTGCTTGAGTGCGTTAATTTGAGTTCAAGTGTTTCTATTTCATGAATGCTGTGAAGAGTTACGAGTGTTCATAAGGGCCAAATTTTGCCCCTCAGGTATCTCGTGCTGGTCAAGGTAAAAGTGTACGAGAATTTGGAGCTCACGTGTGGTCCAAATCTCGCGTGTGGGTCCTTAGGGCCCACCACGCATGTGGGTCCTTAGGGCCCACCACGCATGTGGTCACCTACTGTTGCCGAGGGTGCCGAGCGATCTCGAAGGGTGCTCGGGATTGACTCTAGGTTTTTGTTACATAACAGAATCTCAAGTCTCGTCTTTTATGTCGTCAGAAAGTTGCTCATCTATTGGAATAGTACTCATTACAGGTACAAAACGGAAATATCCGTAAACCTTGAAAAAACGGGGATTTCTTCACGTGACTTTCTGAGTAATCTACTTTCATGAAAGGAGTCAGTAGAGGCGTTTGGAGGGCTTGCAAACTGAATACGTTTTTTTCTGGGGAGACGAACCTTGCCAAATCAATGGACGTTGGGCAACGGTTTTCAAGACGAAGCTCTCAAATGCAGTTAAACAATTGCTTCGTGTTTGCTAGAAATGTGCGTTAGGCTCTCTATAAATAGTGTGCTTGCGTTCAGTGGGAATCAACAGTTTCTGAATGTATAAAATGTTCTGCACACGAACCAATCAATTGTCATAATGCCGCGCAATCGAGTGTAGGACTACTCTAGTGCAAACCATTGAGTTCATACTTAGTTTTCTCTCTACAAACACGGACTCTTGGATAGGGGCTAGTTATACCAGGCACCTGAGGACCCTTGGGATCAACCCCGTGGAAAATACTTTGTGTCAATAAGTCGGTGTGCATAGAGTTCGTAGGTCCCATAAGTAGTCAACAGTTGAGTTGGGTGACATGGGATGACTCTCTGGTTTCCAGAACCTGGGGGATGGGGGAAATAGTACCTCGAGCCGATTACTCGACTCGAGACCAGTTTTTTGAACTTGCGGCGTGTTAAGAAAAGCCTGAGCATCTGGTCAAATTACGAATCGTGCCCAGAGTAATATATAACTCGACCAACCATCACTCGACTCTATTTGAGAGCAACTCGAGCCTTGCCAAAACAAGTCGAGTAAAGCTCGACCCGTCATCTGCCCATGTATACTTCCTGGTGACTGTGTGCCTCCTTTGGGAGAGCTCGTTCTGCGCTCGCTTCTCCAACTGTCTCCATACCCTCCACCCCATCTTCAGGTGGTAAGACGGAGCAGCAGTTGACCCCCACAGCAGCCACGCTCACAGCCACTGGCGACGCCTCAGTGAATGCTGCAACAGCCACGCTCACTCTCACGCCCGCCCAGCCGTCCAAGGCTGGCAGTGTGTTCCTGGCAGCGCGCGTGCCGCTCTTCTCCTACCAGCTCATCGGGGACACCTGCGGCCGCCAGCTCGCCTTCTCCTCCTCCTACTCCTTCACTCTCATCCGCCCTGCTGCCTCCGGCTCCGAAGGCTTTGCCTTTGTGGTGGCCTTTGATGCCACCCCGCCCACAACACCGGTGGCGGGCGGCATGGGGTATGCGGGGATGGGAGCGCGCAGCGTGGCAGTGGAGTTTGACACGTCGATGGATGCGGGCAACAGCGACCCTGACAGCAACCACGTGGGCATCAACACCGGCGGCAATGTCACGTCGGTGGTCACAGCCAAGCCTAGCACCCCTCTCAATGACGGCACGCCCAAGCACGTGTGGATCGACTACGACCCTTCCTCCACTGGCTCCCTGCGCGTCTTCCTCTCCTCCCAGGCGTCCCCTCGCCCCACCACCCCCCTCCTGTCGGCACGCATCTCCCTGTGTGAGGAGCTGGCCCCCTCCCCATCGGAGTACACCTTTGCCATCGGCTTCACTGCTGCCTCCGCCGCCCAGCCTCAAAGCCATGTCGTCTCCACCTGGACCCTCTCCACCTGTGAGTGCACCTCTCCACCTGTGAGTGCACCTCTCCACCTATGAGAGCTCTGCATCCACTTTGCACCTCTGCATTTATCCTGTCTCTTGCGCTCCCCACTTTGTTGTTCGCTTGTCCCTTCCATTGTGAATGAAAGTTGACGAACAGCAACTACCGCCCTAACTCATCTCTTTGATGTGTGTGTGTGTGTGTGTGTGTGTGTGTGTGTGTGTGTGTGTGTGTGTGTGTGTGTGTGTGTGTGTGTGTGTGTGTTGTTCTCGCAGACTTTCCTATCCAGCCAGCTCCAGGTATGACATGAACCAGCTGCTGTTTGATCGTATGAGGCAAGCAATGGAGTTGCTTTTTTATCCTGTTCGGGTTGCTCAGCATTCGTTGCTCCCTCAGCAATCCTCATCATGCCTACCCATGCACCCTATCCTGGATCACAGTTGCAGCGCGGGGCTTTACCTTCAGCGAGGCGGCGCTCTCTCTGTCGGGGGTGAATCTCTTCTTCCGCTATGCCAGCTCCGGCAGTGTTGCTCCTGTGGGTGGCAATGACGTGTATGGCGTGCACCCTGCATCGTCATGGGTCAGTCCAAACTTCACATGGCCTGTCAAGACACAGACAGCTTGCGGTGAGTACTCCTGGACCGCCACCACTGGGCCATAGCCATGGGCAGGCAGTAGGCACGGACCAAACCCGGGCGAGCCCGGCGCGGACCAAGTTGTTGTGGCCATGGCTTGGCCCTCCTCTTCTCTCCCTTCGCACACCCGCAGGCTGCCACCCCCCTCTCACTCACACAACCCCCCACCCTCACCACTCCGTTCCACCCCTCCACCCCCACCCATTCACCTCCTCGATGAAAGCCTGTTCCTGTTGCCCTGTGTCGGATGGGGAGCAGAACCCCCGTGGCCTGGCTGGCTAGCCAAGCTGGTCGGGCCAGCGGGTTTGACCGTGGATTGTTTTTGTCATGTCTAGGCTATGCAATAAGGTTTTCACATTCTTTTGGGATGAGGCCTTCCTTATCCGGAGCTTGCCTTCAGCCGGGCTCGTGTTGAGCTGGCTAGGCTCAGGTCGAGTTTGAGACGAGGCTACCTCGCTACCAGTTGAACGAAATGGAGCAGGTTTGTGTTTCCCTATGCAACATAGCCTCTGCTGAACATGGTGTCTCCTACGCAATGGGTAGCCCTGGGTCGACCCAGACAGGTTGGGTCGGGTCGGGTGGGGTCATTGCTCAACCCTAATGTAAGGGCAGCCCCGCAAAGGAAAGAGAGGTGAGACTTGCCTACAGGATGGATGGTGACTTCGTTAGCAGCAGAGAGTGAGTGCAATTGGATTGATGCATGGTCGCAAATGTGAGACTTGCGCAGCTCAAATATTCCCTCAAGGCCACACAAACCCGTCAAGTTAGGTGAAAGCACACCACCACATGCTTAGCAGGGGGGGGGGCTTGGGGCTAGTAAGGGCTTCCATGGTACATTGTTATAGTATTGTGCCTATGCAAACCATGTTTTTCGTCTATGCGACCTACGCAACCCGTGCATTTCCTGGCAGGCGACTGCTGGGCGTACGCAGTGGTGGGCAGCGTGGAGGCGGCGCTGGGCATTCTCGCCAACACCTCAGCGGCGCCGGTGCTGTCAGTGGAGCACCTGAAGGCCGCCATGAAGGTCAGCTGCTCTGGCAGCACGCCCTCTCAGGCCTTCCAGCTGCTGCTCAAGCTGGCAAGCAAGGGAGGCGGGCTCGTGTTGGAGAGCCAGTGGGCGGTCGAGAAGGGCAAGAAACCTGTGAAGGCAGGCAGCAGCAATCATTTCTTCTCCCCGTTGCTGAAGCCACTGGCCAACGTGTTCGGTGTGTCGTGCAGCAATGGCACGGCCAGTCTATGTGAGTGAGTGAGCTAGTGGGACTCGCGCTAGGTTACTACGGCACGGATGGTCGGAGACACTTACAGAATATTGCTTCATTGTTCGAGCATTCAATTCTGGTGCTGCTCAAGTTTCTTTCACACCGAGTGCTCGTAAACCTGCATGCAGCTCCAAGCTAGAGCTCCGTGTGCGTTGATCCTCCTCCATACCCCATGGTTTGATCTCATCCACACTCCTTCCTTCCCATCCCCAGCATCTCTCTGGTGGCTTCCCCATCAGGGGCTTTGAGTCGACGTCCTTCTATGGCTGGTTTGGGCTGCTGCTGGCTGTGCAGCGGCAGCCAGTGGTGGTGCACATTGAGGCTTCCGCTGACATGTCAAGAACTATGATGGGGTGAGGCCGTGTGGGTGTGAATGAATAAGCAGGAAGCTGCATTGAACCCGTAAGCGGTCGTGTGTGATTGTTTGGTCTGTGTGAATGGCATTTCATGAGTATGTGAGTGTGTGGCCGTGGTGTGTCCAAACTTCCCTTTCCACACCACACACACGACTTATGTCGCAATTTAAATCATTACCTTGCCCTACCTTATCCATTCATCCATTCCCCCAGCTGTACAAGTACCAGGACCCCGATTGCTTCACGTACAACCTGAACCACGTGGTGCTGCTGGTGGGGTACCGCCTAGTGGGTGAGGATACACGCTTCCCCCACATGGCGCCACCCTTCTGGATCATCCGCAACTCATGGGGGCCTGACTGGGGCGATGGGGGCCACAATGACCCGCAGGCACCTCTGACCCCTGCAGCAGAGCCGCCCGCAATGATAGCACTGGTTCCCTCTTCAATCCCTGCGGCAAGTTCACCTGCATTGCGAAGGGCAAGACAAACGAGTGTGACTGCAACGACCCGCGCTTCATCCAAGCAACCAACGCCGATGGCTCTCGCACATGCGCCTACAGTAAGCCTCTGCTGCTGGCTGCCTACGCCCTCTTATTGCTCTCTCAACCAGTTTGTTCCCCCATTCCTCATTTTTGCTCCCTTCAGCTCTCCTCCCTCCGTCCCTCCCTCCCCTTCTTTTCCTCCTCAACCCTCCCGTCCGCTCTCCTCTCTCCACTGCGTCTCTCATCAGAGGATGCATGCAAGGCAGCCCAGCGCAATCCGTGTGCGGTGGGGCAGTGTGTGAATGACGGGGCGGGGTCGTACTCGTGTGTGTGTCCACCGGGCTTCAGACAGGGCACCACCGTCGATGGCACCTTCTCCTGCGCTCCAGGTACCGTCTCCTGTGCTCCTGGCACCTTCTCCTGTGCTCCGTTACAAAATGATGAGAACATAGTCCATTCGTAACACATATTCACAAGAATTAACGGTAAGGTTTTAAGCCTGAGTGCACTAAAAGGCCTGGTGTTACGTAAACGTTATGTGCATGACTGACACGTAAGCATAAAGACCCAGCTCAAGTCCCAGTAACCATGCATGTGCACTGTGCCTCCCGCTTACTCTCTTCCGCAACCATGCTGAGTTTTTGCATGTTGCGTGTTGTTCTGCAACTTTTGTTGTTCTATTTTGCACGCTGTGCGTTGTGCCCCCCATTTACTCACCTTTGTTGATACTTCTGCTCATGTTGCTTGCTGAGCTACATGCCATGTTCCATGCTGTGCTGCATGCTGTGCTGCATGCTGTGCTGCATGCTGGGCTGCATGCAGGTGACACCAACACCACCTACACCGTGCTCTCTCCCAACGTCCGCTGCTCCGATGTCTTCCCGGTCTACGGCCTCACGCTCGCCGAATTCCAAGCCCAGAACGTGCGTTCCCTGCTGTCTTGAGAAGCCCCAAAGGTTTTACTTGAACACCAGAACGTGCGTCTCCTGCATCATTGAGAATTCTCAGAAATGATACCGGCGAACATATAGGGCCAAAACCTGCGTCTCCTGCCCCACAGCAAACCAGCAGTTGCCTCCCCTGTCTTCTTCCCGCTCGTACCTGCCTGGGTGTGTGCCGTGTCCCTTCATGCCTCTCCCTCGGTGTGTGCAGCCATCTGTGTCGTGTGCAGCACCCATCCCACCCTCCACTGTGCTCAAAGTGGCCAGCCCAGCCTCTCTCATCCCCTGCTCCGTCTTCTACACCACTCAGCAGGTCCCCACCTCGCACCCTTCCTGCCTATGCACCATCGTCCCCATCTTACTCTATATGCACCTTTACCCATGACTTTCTGTGCCGCTCCCTGTCCGTCCCCCCTCCATCTCATTTTAACTACCATGTCCAGATCCCAGACTGAACGTTCCTTTAACCTCTCTCTCCCTCACACTCTCACACTCTCCCTCACACTCTCTCACTCCTGCTTCCCCTGCGTCCCACCTTCTCCACCTCCTCTTCCCTGGCCATCTCATTCTCAGGGGGACACCTGTGCGGACCTAGCGGTGTACTTCAAAGTGCACTGGTCCTGCCCATCTGCCAGCTGCCTGCCAGCCTTCCAGGCGCTCAACCCCAGCTTGGACTGCGATGCCAACGGCGGGCTGCTGCAGCCGGAGCAGGCGGTGTGTGTAGAGCGCATAAAGAAGAAAGTGGGGCTCATCCCGGTGTGCTCGCAGTACTACCTGGTGCAGAGCGCAGAGACGTGCGAGTCCATCGGCAATGTGCCCTACCCCCCTCTGAGCCCCGTTGACTTCTTCCGTCTCAACCCCGGCATCAAGTGCAACCACCTCGTTCCAAACACTGACGTCAATGGCTTCACTGGCTTTGAGGTGTGTGTGTGGCACCGGCTCTGCTCATGCCTCTCTGCCCTTCCTCGTGGCTCACAGATGAATATTCCTCGTCTTGCACAAACCATCTTGTCTTCTTCCATATCCTTATTGCTCAGCAAAGGCTAACCCGATCCCATTTTCTTCTGCACTCCACCCCTCTTCCTCCCTCTCCCCTCCACCCCACCAGGCATGCATTGCGAGCTCTACGTCGTACACTCAGGGCACGTGCCCGCGTGCGAACGCGTATGTGGTGGGGACAGGCGACAGGTGCACGGCCATTCAGGTGAAGTACTTCCGGGGCATCAAGGGCTGCTACAGGAAAGTCAACGGATACGACTGCATCGACAAGCTCGTCAAATCAACCCGCGTGTGCCTGCCTGACAAAATCAAGCTTCAGAAAGGAGTCTGCGACAATTGAAGCCAGCAACTCCACTCGCCAGTGAGCCTGTTGCTACAGTCGTCCGTGAGTCAGTTGCTCTAGCCGTACGAGCGTCTTGCTCTACGCGTACGAGCTAGTTACCGTACTTTAGTTGCCCGTGAGCTAGTTGCCTGTGAGGTAGTTGCTCCAGTAGCCCGTGCGTCAGCAGCTTCAGCCGCCGCCCGCCTCCTCCTCTCCTTTCTTTCTCTCTCTCTCTCTCTCTCTCTCTCTCTCTCTCTCTCTCTCTCTCTCTCTCTCTCTCTCTCTCTCTCTCTCTCTCTCTCTCTCTCTCTCTCTCGCTTGCCTCTCCTCCTTCCACTGCACCCTGGTGTACCCTATTAAAGGGTTGTCTGCACATGTTTCTCCTGCAGGCAGTTATGGGGGCGTATAAAAAAACATATATGTTATATTTTATAACTGCGTGTCTAATTTTCTGTAGTATTGTTTGCTGGTGAGGCGGTGCACCTTTGTTTTTGCTTGTTTGATTGCTGTATGTTCTTCTTTTTCTATAGTAAAACCCCGCCCCGCCTGTTAGAATACGTGAACAGGAATGATGAATGACTAGGAACAGGGAGATAACAAGTATGGAACCCTATGTGGGGTTGTACTCTATACTCAGCACCTCACTGTAGTCTAGCAGAACTAAGTGTACATTCCGCTGTGGACACTGTCCCAATTGATGTGTCCCAATTGAGTGTACCGCTCCGAACCGAACTGAACCAGAGACGCGAAAAATTTAAAACTAGGGTGCAATTTGGTGTAATACGATGCACTGCGGTAGAAACGATTGAGACACTTTCGATTGGGACATGTCTAGAGCGGAATGTACCCTAAGAACATACAAATATGTTTTGACACACCCCCCTTGGCAAAGTGAGGGATAGCCAACACAGCAAACGGTCACAAGACCAATCAAGCATGATAACAAAGCAATGCAAAACCCAGGGTGGATCTCAAGATCACCACCACGCCTTTTGAGCACAAGCAACCGGCCACAAGGCCAGTTCACATGCACCGTTACACCGTATCACCCCGGATATAAGCGCACTTGCGCGTATAACATAACATGATTTTTCAGGGGGGTGCGCTTATAATTGGGTAAAAAATATAAGCGCATGCGCTTATAAAATGACAAATATACATTTTCAAATTACTAGCACGAAAATGTAGTTCGCGTCATTGCGCACCCAATCGAGTCGATTTGAAACAAGGTTGTGGGTGAAAATCTCTCGCTACTTGGCAGGGAAAGATTCCCTGCCAGCACATACACTCAAAATGAGTCACTAGGCGCTTTTAACGGCACATGCTGACTGGACACGCAACCTGCAGGGTTGGAATGCAAAGGAAAATTGATTTCCAAGACATCAGCTAAAGCGAGCTTCGTTACATTAATTTGACAGTTTTACAAATTTAAAACTAACATGCGCTTATAATAAATCACGTTTTTTAAAGGGGGTGCGCTTATAATTGAGGATCGGCCATAAGCGCATTGCTCCAAATAGAAGCGCATGTGATTTTAATAGGCCTGCGCTTATATCCGGGGTGATACGGTAATAGCAAGGCAGTACATTGATCACAATCTAGCAAGAGTAAACATGCAGCTATAAATAAAGATATTAGTGTACAACTGTCAGAATGTTATTGTTCTCTAGCCTGTAGTGGGGTACTCTATAGCGAGTACAACCCCTTAGGGTTTCCTATATGTATCCTGCTGCTCTCTAGTGAACCCCCTCTCTTCTTCATTCTCGTTCAGTTTCTCATGCTATCAGAGCAGGTCGATCCCCTTGGGTCGATCCTGTGGGTGGGCTCACCACCTCACTGCTTCCGCTGCTACTGCTACTCTCTGTGTTGCACGCCCCGTGGCGTGCAACGGATTTTTCATCCCGCCGCGCGCTCGGAGCGTGCGGCGGTTTTCTGCCCGCCGTGCGACCCGAGGCGCGCGGCGGTTTTCTGCCCGCCGTGCGCCCCGAGGCGCGCGGCGGGTTTCTGCCCCGTCATGCAGCGTGTCGCTCCCAGGAGGCGCTGCGACGGGCGACGGGGACCCGCGCGTCGCCCCCCGTCGCCCGTCGTGGCCTGCGCGCGGCCCGTACAGGCCCGCGCGCGGCCCGTACGGGCTGCGCCAGGCCCGCGCGCGGCTCGGACCGCCTGCGCGCGGTTCGGGCGGCTGTGCCAGGCCCGTGGGCGGCCCATTCTTCGCTGCCCCTGCGCTGCCCGCTGTCCCCCGTGCCTCTGATGGCGCCCCACCCTTGCTGCTGCCCGTTCTCCTGGATTAGATTTTGGGGGTGGGGGGTATGGGGGTGCAACTTCTGTGTGCCGTCCCCTGCTCCTCCTCCTCCTCCGTCTCCCAGTGCTGCAGCTGCCGCTGAGGGGGGTGGACCTGTTGGAGCCGTCGGAGTGGTACTAAGGGGGGTGAAGGGGGAGTGGAGCTAGGGGTGAAGCAGGGGGTGTGTGTCAGGGGGAGTGGGACTGTTTGGGGAGGTTGAACGGAGGTTGCCGTCGTGTCGCCAGCAGCACCTGTAGTCCGGGGAGTTGCTCCGGTAGCCCAGTCGCAGCCAGCTGTTCCAGTCGCCCGTGGGTCCGTTGCTCGTCTGCCGCTACTTTTAGCCGCGGAGCCAGTTACTCCAGTAGTCCGGAGCGTTGTTCCGGTAGCCGCTGTGCCAGTGTGACTCCTATTGCCCGTGTGTCTGCAACTTCAGCCGTCGCCTCCTATCTCCTCTCGTCTCACTGTCCCTCCTCCTCCTCACTTACCCGTTGTGACTACCACTAGCTTTGCTCATAATTGTGAACTTTAAACTGTTGCTTCTTGTACTTGTGCTCAGAATGTGTGGTGACATTGTGATCCACCCTGAGCTTGTTCTATTTTGCTTGCTCTGCTGATTACACCCCACTTTGGCTATGGGGGTGTGTCAGAATGTTATTGTTCTCTAGCCTGCAGTGGGGTACTCTATAGCGAGTACAACCCCTTAGGGTTTCCTATATGTATCTTGCTGCTCTCTAGTGAACTCCCTCTCTTCTTCATTCTCGTTCAGTTTCTGTACAACAAGTGCAAGATCAAGAGACAAGCAAGTGAGGCAGAGTCGGCAGAAGCCCAAGAGCAGTGCAAAAATGCTGATGATCACCAGACTCGAGGGCCTTGGTGAAGACATTAGGAGTGTTGGCCCGAGAGGCCACGTAGGAAAGGCGAAGCTGCCCACGCTGATGCAGCTCTCAAGCAAGAAAGTAGCGAAGAGCAATGTGCTTCGTTCTGTGCTCCAGTCTCTGCTCGTAACACAAGGCAAGCATGGCCTTGTTGTCGACGTACAGAACTGGAGGAGAACGAGGCCGCTCCCCCAAGTCGGTCAACAGGTAGGTCAGCCAGCGTAGCTCTTGTGCAGCCGTAGCACCAGCGTAGATCTCAGCCTCACAGCTCGAGCCAAGCACAGAAGAACGAGTAGACCTCCATGAGATACAACCGGAGCCAGAACTGTAGGTGTAACCCTGCGACGAACGCTGAGTCGCCTGGTCGTCAGCCCAAGAAGCGTCGGAGTGTCCTATGAGTACCACTTAACCCTCTCCAAGCACGATCCCCATGCCGGACGTACTGCACAAGTAACGCAGTACCCTCTTCGCAGCATCCCAGTGCACCTTTCGGTGTCTACCGGGAGCCACATAGTGAGCCAGGAGGCTAAGAGGGTACGTGAGGTCAGGTTGTGTGCACGTCATCAGGTACATGAGGTAACCCACAAGCTCTGGATACGGACCACTCGGCTCTGTGGACTCGTCTGAAGGTGGAGCTGAGAGCGAGTGGCCAGTAGGCAGAGTAGTGGGTTGTGGCGAGGAGAACTGAAAGCTGAAGCGCTGAAGGACCTCGTGCACCATGTGTGAATGAGTTAGGGTGATAAATCACCGTGCTCTGTCCCGGGTAATATGCAAGCCAAGATAGCTCCGCAGCTCACCCAAGTCAGTGCAGGTGTGTCTCTCCTGCAGCTCCGCCTTCACTAGGGCCAGTGCCTCACTGTCAGCAGTAGCAAAAACCAAGTCGTCGACGTACACGAGAACGTAGAACGGCGGCAGGGTAGTGTCGGTGCGTAGAAACAGCGACGGGTCAGCAGAGGAAGGAGAAAACCCAAGAGCCGCAAGTGTCATCCTCAGTGTGTCGTGCCACTCGCGGGGCGCCTGACGCAGACCGTAGACTGGCCGCCAGAGACTCCACTGGGTACCCGCAGGAAATGACCCAGTGAAGCCAGGTGAGCGGCGCAACCAGATCTCCTCGTGAAGGCTGCCCTGCAGGAAAGTTGTGGAGAAGTCGAGGGAGTGCAGCTCGTAGTTACACTGTGCTGCAACATGCAGCAACACCTAAAGAGTAGTCATCTTCGGGGTCGCGGAGAAGGTCTGGAAGAAGTCGACCCCCTGTCGCTGACTGAAACCTCGAGCAACGTAACGCGCCTTGAAGGCAGGCGGAGAGCCCGGCGACCGCTTCACTCTGAAAATCCACATGCGATCGACTATGTTCGCCCCAGGAGGAGGAACCTCGTCGACATAGGTGCCTATGGACTTCCAGGAAGCCATCTCTGCGTCCATGGCTGTCTTCCACTGAGATGAGTACTCACCCGCGATTGCCTGAGAGTAAGAGCGCGGGGTAGGGATGTCAAGTGCATTTGGGTCTCTCTCAGGGCAAAGCAACATAGATGAGAAACGAGATAAAGCGGCCGCAAGATACTCAAGCTCAAACTGTCTGTCCTCAAGGACGTCACTGCTAAGGGCAGGCTCACCCCCGACGAACGGAGGACATACAGGCTTAGACTCAGTAACAAGACTCGCGGCGTAGTCAAGACGACTCATGGAAGCATAGTCGATCCGCTCAATGACTAGGGCAAACACAACAATAGACTCAAAGCCAGGGTCAGTGACGGCAGTAGCGAGGAGACGAGTGACAGTAAGAATGGCAGCACGAGCAAGGTCGGACTCAGGGTCAGACACATCAGGAAGAGAGGACACCGAAGGAGACGGCAGGGCAACAC